TCCTGCTGATGTTCAATTCACCACAAAAAACACTGGACGCTGCACTAGGTCAGAAACCAGAGGAGACTGTGAAGTCCACCATAGACGGACCACTTTTGGACAAAATGTCCTTTCCATAAAAGGCAGCTGGAATAGCCTCCCAACTGAGATACGGGATTGACCCACTCTCAATAGTTTTAAAAGTAAACTCAACTAATCATCACTAAATGCACTTTAATACAGGGGTATCTTCTCTTGCACTTTATGTATTGATACTGCCATTTTGTATTACCATGTTCTAAATACTTGAGTATTCTCTTGCATTTTATGTATTTGTAATGCTATGTTTGTAATTTTCTTAATGTTTTATGTGGAGACTGCGGATGGAAAGTAGGCATATTTCATGTTTTAAGTGTTCATTAATGTGCAATGTCCCTGCCAAATAAACGAATAAATAAATACAAATAAATCAGTAGTCTTTAGTTAGTCACCTCTTTATCTGTATTGGTTCTTTTCCTGCTCTGGTTCTTCTTGTTGTTCTTGCGTTTTTTTCCTGGTAGGTTTTTCTTGGAGGCTTCTGGCTCTTCATCGCCCTTAAGGGCAGTCTGGAACACAGATCAAAAGAAAACAAATGAGCGGCAAAACTAAAAACATGTCCCTTTAACTTACACATACATTGCAAAGCACCTGTTTTACCTTGAATGATGTGACTGCCTTGTCATAAGCCTTTATCAATGCTGTGTCATCCCATATATCAGAATCATCACTCTGGAAATAAGAACAGATTTATAGCATGAAAAGATTATATAGATGAAAAGATTCATGTTCTTACACACATTTCACATTCAATGCATAACAAGACAGATAACATGCAAAAGGATTGTGGGCTCTTTTGTGATTGTTATGCTTTTTTTTTTTTTACTTACAGTAACACTTTAACAGAGTAGCTATTTTATTTAGTCATCCTGACATTGGACCTGTATGGTTTAGCTTTGCATCACTGCATTTTGGAAAGGATGCTACAATAAGTGCAACATAAACGAGCAGCTAAAGCTAGCTCACGTGAAGTCTGTCCAATACAATATATTACAATTGGGAAACATTTCGACAAATGAAACACTTCAGATACTCTATGGATATTTAGTTTTATTGTTTCTGTATCTTTTCCTCTTTGTTACCAACTAAACCGAGCTAGTTTGTAGCTTAGCTTCCAAGCTCAACAACTCTCCAAATCTACAGCAGCCTTCAAAGCATCGCACGTGTTGTCACCTTATGCTCATTAGTGCATCATAACTGACCTGTACACCTCCACGAGAAAACAACGTGTCTTTGTATCCATTCGCCATGAGAAGACGTGTAAATGTCACTGCTCAAAGCTAATTGCTCAAAACTAACCAGCAACGTGCGTCGGTAAATAGTGACGTGTGTTCTTATTCTGACGTATATTAGTTGCGACGCGGTGGTTGGCTTGGCAACGACAGTAGCTAGGTTAGCGCAGGTTAGCTTAGCTGTCGACTCCAAGACACGTAAACAAAGCAGATTATTGGGTGTTATTGTCGGATATACAGTTATATTCTACACCAGGCAGCAGCGGAGAGCATCATATTTACCGTGTGAATCAGTGAAGATGATTGAGTCATCTTTAGCTTCTTTGGGGGCAAAAGTTGTTGTCGCTTCATCGAGCGACGAAAATCACCCTCCAGAAAACATCACTGATGGGTTAGTGTTTAAGTTATTACATTATTTTTATATCCTCCTACGAACCGAGGAAATAGTGTCTTCCAATTTACTTTGTTGTGTCATTTGCTACCTATCTAGGGTTATCTATCTATCTCTCTCTCTCTCTCTCTCTCCTCCCTACATACATACCTACATCTATCTATCTAAACTGGGTAACATTATGCTTACAGAGTGATATTAATACAATAATACATTCAAGTAATTGGTCCGAACATTGCTATATATTTGGCCACCGAAAAAATGTTTTGTTTTTTGGTGAATGCTGCCAAATCTTTAAAGACTTTGTTGTCAATGCACTGTGAAAAGAACTCAATTGGATTCCAGTATGCACAGGTTGTGGACTAGTTTTATAGATGTCAAATGTGTCAGATCAGGTGTTTATTTTGTTTATTTTATATTTATCTTTAGTCAATCCCATACCATTTGGATTAGCGATAACATTAAGATGTTTGTTTTTCCCTTTTTATCAAGAAATACCAACACGTTCTGGATGTCCACCGGGATGTTTCCTCAAGAGTTCATCATTCGTTTTGCTGAACCGACAGATATTTCTGCAGTGACAGTGGACAGCTATAATGGTATGGTGTCACACATACTATGCTACCTTTTATATTACTGTACTGCAATGTTTGCCAATTGACCAATTTTTTAAAACACTTACATGGACAGACAATAAACCCAATATATCTCATTCAAAGCAACCCTAATACATTTTAAAGCCAAAGGGCATAAACATGTGATCTGCTATCAAATCAACACCATTTGAATATGCCAAATGTTTTAATTTGTATTTTAATGTTTGTAATTGTATTTATTTATTGTCAAAAACAAGATAGTTTTCATATATTTCCTGAAAAGTGTTTCCTTCCTTTATAAAAAGAATACACCTAGTTGTTGTTGTTGTTTCAGAGTTTTGTTCCTGTTAAAAAAACGTTATGAAAATCTAGTCTTTTTTTTCATCTTCTGCAGTCAAGCATCTAAAGATAGAGAAGAACACCTCACAGAATGCCTCTCAGTTTGAGTCTGTTACAGAGAAAGGTAAGAGGAACAGCCGTCGACAGCACCTTTTTGGTTTTTAATACCATAGAATTTTGATTGGGATTAACAACATCATTGTTTTACAGAATTTCAACAAACAGAGGGACATCTTCAGTCAAATGCTATTTCGGTGAGTCGAAATGAAAGTATTTTAATGTAAAACAAATACAATTAATGGAATTAACAAATAAATCACCTACTTTTATTTATATTATTCTATTTTGCAGCTTAAGGGGAGCGGTGCAACTCACCTTCGTCTCATCATCACCTCAGGATATGATCACTTTGCCTCAGTGCATCGAGTCAGTGTGCAAAATTAACACTCCCGATTGTTGTGAATTAAAGCCTGATCTATGTTATGTACATATTGCTTTAGTCTTTACTAAACACACACACACACACACACACACACACACACACACACACACACACACACACACTGATATCTTTACGATATTTCTTCACTCTTTGCTGCTTTTGTTCTCAAACTGTCCTCCATGTTTCTTCTCGCCTCTATTCCTCCTCTCTCTCTTTCCGATGATTATTCTCCCAAAAAAAGGAAAGCGTGCATCCGAGGACTCGGAGGAGTTACTCAACCATAAGAAACAATCTCCTCCGTCTCCCCCGTCACTCCCATTCCTCCCCCTTTCACTCACATGCCATTGGAAATAGGAGATAGAGAGTACCGGAGGAGTTTGAGGAGAAGAGGAGATGTGATGAGAGGAGAAGGACGAATTAAAGACACCAGAATATATGTATTTTAAATCAAGCAGACATTGTTTGAGAAGTACTCGTTTACTTAAGTTAAAGTAGAAATATATGGCCTCAAAATGATATCAAAGTCAATAGTTTGTTTATCAATTTGATACTGCTTAAGTTGTACAGTATCATCATTCTCATGTTTCATTTAATTATTATGTTGTTGTATTAAGTTTGGGGCTCTCTGCTGGACACGCTCCCTCCGCGACCCGACCACGGAAAAGCCGGAGAAGACGGATGGATTATTGTTTTACACGTTCGAAATAAATCAAATCAAATCAAAAAAATGCTCCAAGTAAAAGCCCTGAATTCAAAATGTTACTTAAGTAAAAGTACAAGAATATTAATGAACTTGAAGTACAAAAAAGTAAAAGTACTCGTTCTCCACAATGGCCCATTTCAGATTAAAGTACAGAAGTGTTATCTGAGTAATCTTCTAATATGTGCTGATAATATAAGGATGCGTCAGAGAGAAGCAGAAGTTGGAGGTGACCCTGTTCTAATCACAGCAGCGAGCAGGTGGCTTCCAGGGTTTAACCTTTATTTGAAGGAGAGCGTCCCAGAATATGAGCGTCTGATTAACATGATTACACAGATCACTGTGCTGCTGATGATGAACAACTAATGCTGTGTTTTTATTATGAAAACAAACCTGCAGTGCAGCTTTCTCTGAAACGATTAGAGTGTTTGAAGTGATGTTACAGCTGGTTTCGGGTCAGTGACAGTGAACCTAAAAGAAACTGGGAGGTTTAAAAGGTGCTGATGTTCAGGTGTATATCAGTATGTAGTGTATCTACTTTAAAGAGTCCTCTCCTGCTGAGGTGTATATCAGTATGTAGTGTCTCTACTTTAAAGAGTCCTCTCCTGCTGATGTTCAGGTGTATATCAGTATGTAGTGTCTCTACTTTAAAGAGTCCTCTCCTGCTGATGTTCAGGTGTATATCAGTATGTAGTGTCTCTACTTTAAAGAGTCCTCTCCTGCTGATGTTCAGGTGTATATCAGTATGTAGTGTCTCTACTTTAAAGAGTCCTCTCCTGCTGATGTTCAGGTGTATATCAGTATGTAGTGTCTCTACTTTAAAGAGTCCTCTCCTGCTGATGTTCAGGTGTATATCAGTATGTAGTGTCTCTACTTTAAAGAGTCCTCTCCTGCTGATGTTCAGGTGTATATCAGTATGTAGTGTCTCTACTTTAAAGAGTCCTCTCCTGCTGATGTTC